GGGAGTTGAAGTCCACTCATCTTAAAGCGGCCAAGTTTGGACAACACTGCCCTAAAGCATCCTTTCGATTGTCCTAGGTATAGATTCACTTAAGGGCCTTGGATGTGTGGAATCCAAGGTTCCTGGAGCTGCAAGGGGACCCCGAGCCTTGGAGTCCAGCTGCTGCTCAGTGCAGGAATCCAAATTAAACCACCTCCAAAGAAGTTGCTTCAAGTCCCCTTGAAAAATCCAACTTCCCACCACTTGTAATTAATTCCATTCTGCTTCCATCTTTTCTGAAAGCTGAACACGCCCTGCTTCTTCAGCCTCTCTTTCCAGTCCTGTGACCACCCTTGTTGCCCTTCTCTGAGCCTTTTTGAATCCCACCAGATCCTTCTCAAGGTGGGATGCCCCAAACGGTCATAGTATTTGAGGTGGGGTCTGATCAAAGCGGTATAAAGCAGAACAATTCCTTCCCCTGTTTAGGAAATTATACTCCTATTTGCCTTGGGGGCTCGCATTGCTGGAACTGGCTGGTGGGATGACCGATACTGCTCCCCCCACCATCTTGAATTGTATACTGGCTTTTATGGAATTGTTACTTGTGTTTTTAATTGGGGGACATTTATATTTTTATTGTTTTTATTGTCTTGGTTTTTAATTGTAAGCTGCCCAGAGTCACCTTCTGGGGGAGGTGGGCGGCATATAAATTCAATAATAAATAAATAAATAAATAATATTCCATCTCCAGTCAACTACTGCTCCAAGCTCTCTCTCACAAGTCATCAAGCCAGGTGGTACCCTCATCTGGCACCTGTGCATTTGGGTTTTGTTTCCTAAAGAATAGAACTTAGCATTTCAAGCTGTTACTTTCGGCCCATTTCTCTAACCTATCAAGACCATGTGAGTGCTAGTTCTGTCTCTAAGGGATTATCTTTCCCAGTGTTTCTCAACCTTGGCAACTTGAGGAGGGTCCAGAGGAGAGCAATCAAGATGATAAGGGGCTTGGAAGGAAAACCTAGGCGAAACTTAGGTTGTAAACATTGCACGTGTATGGCTTAGAGAAGAGAAAGTTAAGGTGAGATATGATCGCTGTCTTCAGATATCTGAAGGGCTGTTATGTAGAAGTTGGGATAGATTTGTTGGGTGTTGTTTCAGAAGGCAGAACAAGAAATAACAGGTTTAAATTACAAACGTTTATACATTTCAATTGGAATCAAGAAGAATTTCCTAATGGTAAAAAAAAATGGAGTGATGGACAACCAGAAGTTGTGGACTGTCATTTGCAAGATGCATTTAAGCAAAGGTTTGATGGCTATTCATTGGGGGTGCTGTAATAAAGGATTTTCGCACAGAGCAGGAGATTGGAATAGATTATCCCCAAATCCCTTCCCATTTTACATTCTGGGAGTATGATTTTCAAGGCAACTATGTATCTACTTAATTGCTAAGATACTGCGAAACATAAGTAGCTTGCTAATTGGCATGTCATGGAATATGTTTTCAGACGCTTTACTGAAATCAAGATATATTATGTCTGCAACATAACCATTATCTACTAATGTAACAGTGAGATAAAGACAGTTTGGCAGGATTTGTTCTTTGCAAATGCATGCTGATATCTGACAATTACTACATTGTTTTCTAAGTGCTTACAGACTGATCTCTTTATGATCTGCTCAAGAATCTTCCCGGGTATCAATATCAGACTGTCTATAGTCCTGGGCATCTTGCTTTTCTCCCTTTTAAAGACAGCAACATCATTTTTCCTTCTCCAATTTTCACTTCCACCAGTCTCCAGGATTTCTCAAAGATAATTCATGAAGGTTCATCCAAACCATCAGCTGGTTCCTTCAAAACCTTAGGTTGGGAACCTGAAGTCCTTCATGGCAAGAAGTTGTTTCCTGATCATGTTTCTATCCATTTCAACTTTCAACTCTGCCTCTTCATCCTGCTCCTCCCAATTCTCTGGTAGAAAACATGGCTTTCTTATTGAAAAAAGCTGAGCCAATTTAGCTTAACCTAGAACAAATCCAATTAGCTATAAAAAGGATTCCACTGGCAGAAACCCCATGCTGACTATAGATCTGCTTCTTCATGATCTGAAGGGAAATTTGGCTCCTACCCTGGGGATAGTAAGCTGCTGGCAGTGTGATCGTTTGTCCTGGGTCCCCTTGAGTCAGGAGAAGCAATGGGATAATGCTGTATCTAAACTGATATGGGACAAGGCCAACATCGGGGCACTGGGGATGGAACAGGATTGCTAGGCTTTTCCATGATGCTGTAAATCGCTGCTGAAGAAAAGTCTGTGTGGAACCAACTGCTAATTCCCTGTATTGCTCAGGGACAGGGGGACCAAGTACTCACCATACTGGATGTTGGACTACGTTGCAGCCCAATCCAGACCCAATCACTTTCCATGTTTTCTTTAGAGACATAGGCACCAACAAGTTTTGTCTGGGTGTCACTTGTGAAAGATGCTAAATGACCTTTCCATTTGAACTGACACTCTTCCTGCATGGAGAGAAGAACCAAAAATGTCCCATTAGGAAAACGAGATGCCTGGTGACTTACTCCTTGACAGTGGCTACTTATTTATCACCAATAAACCATGGTGTCCATCCTGGACAGGAGAAGATTGCGGGACTGCTACAGTCCAGGCCTACCAACCTGATGGTCTTGCAGTTTGGGAAGGGGCCAGATATCTACTGATATGAGATAATTTGGAGATACACATTAACAATAATAGTTTTGTTAAAATAAAAAATAATGAAGTATGGTAAGACCCAGGTGATGTTTTTTTTAATTCATAAAATTTTGACAGCTGGCAAGCTGATGACTCCCTGGTTGGAATGTCTTGCTCTGGAAATAGTGACCAGATCCTCTAATGTTAATCAGAGTAACCCAGGAAGCAGTTGTATGAAGGCTGAATTAAGTCCATGTGCTCAACTCTAAATCCAGGTTAACAAACCCAGTTGATTTATTCATGGAATATGCTACATAGGCCTATGCAAAGTAACTTAGTTTCAGATCACCAAAGAGATCTTTGCTGTGCAGCTGATGCACTTCCTTTCAACAGAGCAGAAAGAGGACTTGAAGCATCACCCATGGTCAGAGATTCCAAGCTCAGTAGCTTCAGTTACACACCAAAGGATTGTGTGTGTGGAAGCAACCCAGCATGGAAGATCATTGGCATGCATGCACCAAGGGAGCTCCAGGTGGGGAGGTGGGGCAGGGTTCAGCCCGCATAGCAGGATTGCCAGCAGAATTCACCAGCAGAATCCAAGTGGTCCAGTCTGGAAGGATTTGGCCTGTGCTGAGGTGGCTCCACACCCACACTTCAACCAGTGCCCATCAGAGAAGGTCCTCTCAGCTACGTTCCTGTAGCAGGAGATCTACTAAGAGGGGCTGCAAATATGAGCAACCAGAAGCAACAGGACCATGACACTCTTAGAGGCAAGGGGCCCCTTTGAAACAGCATGGCTTGAACCTTTGAAGGTACAGGTCATCCTTGTTTAGCAGCCACAGTTGGGACCTGCAACTCAGCCGTTAAATGAAGCAGTCACTGAGTGAAACCATGACTGTGCTTATGATCTGACTTCAGCTTTCCTTTGCTTTACAGACCAGTGAAGGTCGTAAATGTGAGGATTGGTTGTAAAGTTACTTTTTCATCAGAGACATAACTGCGAATGGTTGCTAAACAAGGACTACCTGTATAACTCTGTGATAGCTTAACTTGTGGCCTTGTTCACACAACATGGATATGACAGTAGCTGAGTTCCATAACATGTTAAATCGCATACTGTCAGGTTCAGCCCAAAGAACTCCACGGGACAATGCAAATACAGTTCTGTTGCGTTTATTAGCTTCCACTTCAAGATAGAAATCTCCCCAGACTGAACCCTAGTTCCCAAGCCAGCCAGCCACAACACCGTGAATTCCTTAGGGACGTGCCAGCCTCATCGTCTTGAACTTCCCTCGCTCCTGCTGGGGGCTAAGAACACGCTTATCTCCCTGAGCCTGGCCTTCGTAAGTCCATTGCATCACACATACTACCCAATCCCATTTAAATATAGCAGTAGGATGATTGAATATTCCATCATAATTCAGCTCATCAATCCCATTCCAATTTATTATCGAAGTACTAAACTGAAGGGAATTCAACAGAATTAATAACATATTTTATTTTACTATTTCTTTTGGGTATCGATCGCTTTTTTTGTTAAAGAGTCACACAGTAGGTGTTCGTTTAAAAAAAGACATGGTCTTTTGGTGTTCTGCAGTCTGGAGAAGCTCTGGGCCAGATTAAGGGAACTTTTCCAGCTCAGGAGAGTTACCTCTGCCTCTTGAAAGGTGAACCGGTCTTCATAGAACTTGTAGCAATACCACTGGCTTCCATCTCGATGGGCAAAGCTACCGGGAGGGCAGGCAGTCCGAGTCTGGACTTTGGACTGTGGATCTGCCAGGAGGAACAGAGTGAGAAAGCAAAGAGAATAAGGCCAGGAGTGAGGGACCCAGCATGGCTCTTGGTCTTAGTGGGACAGATGCCAGCCTGATTCCACAGACACCAGTATCTGGTGTCCTTATAATCAGACATGAAGGCCTTCTGGAATTCTGCACCAGGCCTCTCTGGACTGGTCTAAATGACCATAACTAGAGTTAGGGTTAGGGTTTCCCTGGCAATGGATCAAAAGTGATTTTCCCTTGCTTATCTTTTGGAGATCACCCAAAAGTGGTTAGGTGTTGCCAGCTAGGTGGGTGTAAGTGATCCTAGCTGATCTCAAAAAAATTAGCCGGTCCAGCTTGGGCCATACTTGGACAGGAGACCCTCAGGGCATTCCAGGCCTGGAGGCTAAACTGGGACATTGAAAAACAGCCAACCCCATTCATCCCAGAACAAGGCCCTAATGAACCACTTTCGTACTGCTGCCAAGACGCCTGCATGTCCATGAAGTCACCAAGAGTCGAGCATGACTCCAAGGAGAACATCTCTTTGGTCTCCTATTTTTCCCAGGGATAACAAGTCACCTTACTGATGTTTTTCCAGAACCCTGAAGTGAGAATGTTGGTTCTGATGCCTTTTAATTTGCTAAATTCCCCAAGGAAAGCTATAAAAATGGCCCTCAACCATCCAGCCTAGCAGAAGAGGAGAAGAACGGTTGCTGCTCAGTGGTGCCAATCCTCTTTATCTGCTCTCTGTTGCCCCCTCTGAGCTGAAGAAGCTGAGTTGTTTTTATCACGGACAAGCCAGCAGACAGTTAACACCTTTTCTTATTTCTTTTCCCAATGATCCAGAAAGTGAGTAAGGCTTCTCTGTAGAATGTTTTCTTATGTTTTCTCCACAAATTTAGCTTCCACAACTATGTTTCTCTCCTTCTCTTAAACTGACTTTATCCACTTCTGCTCTTGTTTGTCCTACAGCCTGTCTAGGGCATTGACGGTTGTAGCCCTAGACCTCTGTCTGCCTGGAAGACTGTGGACTTCTCTAGACTCCTTGCCTTCTTCACCTGGTGACAATCGGCGACGAACGCACTCATCCCCTTTCCCCCACTGAGCTGAACGTTTGGGTTCCTCCGTCTGCAAACAGCTCAAAATCCCTAAGCTGCTCTGGAAACTAATACCAAGTGATTCTTGGATTGCTTTGTATGCATTAGCCCCAACTCTTATTTCTTAACTTGTACTTACTGGTTGTGAAGAACAATTTGACTTTTGGATTTCTGTAACACAAAAGTCTGTTCAATAACCTGGACTGGTGGGTCCCAACAGAACGAGTGCTGTGGCAGGCCCCAGTTCACAACAATACACAACGATGAATCAAGACATTTATCCTGTATTCGTTTTAAATATGATTTCGTAGAATCCTAGGGTTGGAGATGGCCTTGGAGCCCTGCCCAGGGCTGGAATCCTCAGATCATCCCAACCGTTGCTTGGAAGCCTCCAGAGATGCAGCCCCCATGACTCCAGGGCGGAGGCTGTTCCCTGCTTCATAGCTCTTCAGTCAGGAATTTCCTCCTGATTTCAAGTTTGGAATTCCCTCTGTACAGCTTCCAGCCATTAATTATTGTCCTACCTTTTGGACTGATCTTAGTTTCTGAGTTTCTGAAGCTCAAGGGCAGGGGTGGGCATGGGGTGGGGAATCATGTCAAGACAGCAGCTGCGACTGCATAATTTAAGCCCCACCCCTCTTTTACATGTGTCTCACATGCAACGCATGCCAAAAAAGGCTGCAGTTTCCATTGTGTGATTACACCACCATCTTCACTTTTTTGAACCTCCATTCAGATGCCCCTCTCAGGAGCATAGAGGTTTTCCCTCGCTAAGCAATAGCCCCCAAACACCCCCAGGCCAACAGGGATATCAATTCAAGCTTGATATTCCCACACCACAGAGACATCCCCATTTCACGAAAAGCTCTTGGCAAGGAAATGGATCAGGTTTAGAGAGCTGGCAACAACTTACCTTCTGCCCAGGTAAGGCTGCCAAAGAGACCAAGGATGAAGCAAATGATGAGAAACATCTCCAGACCTGAGGGGACAAGCAGAAGATGAGAAGAACCCTAAATGACCTCCAACAAAGCCAGGCCACCACCTTTCAGGTGTCCCTCCCCAGAAGAGAAGCAGAGCGCACATCTCAACTGACCGTGAACCCTGCCTGTTCATCTCTGGATTCCAGCCCCCTCCCCCTCCCCCCCCCCCCCA